GATCTGTACTGGTGTAATATTTGGGTTGTGACGTGAATTAACTGTAAAACAGGATGATTCTATGAGCCACGCCTATCAATAGACTCCATTAAACACTTGTCACCCCTTGGGACTCTTTTTCACCTTGTAAGTCATAGATGTAGACAGAAAGTGGCGAGATAAAACAGTAAGGGTTTAATTACTCCAGAGGCATGGTCCAGAGGTGCAGTAAAACAATGCCACAACTGCCAGCTTCCTGTCTAGTGTTTAATATCTTCTTCCTTACCAACACAGTGAAAAAGCCGTCATAAAAGATCTATTTTTAAGCCCGGGTTATGTTCGTGGTGTGCAACAGAACAAATGGGAGAAGAATTTAATTTCAAACATAAATAATAAGAAAATAGTTATTAATAAATATCAGCATCATTGCAATTATAAAGAGTTTAAAACTTAATCTTAAACAATTAGCTGATTCTTCTCATTTCTATTGTCCTTTAAAATAAAATAATTTCCCCATCTGATGTAGAAGACCTATTGCCTTAGACGTCTACAGTATTTACAGTAAATCTGTTGGCCATTTCTGATTCCTTTAGCACACAGCTTGATAAAAAGGGAAATTAAAACAATCGGGGAGAATGAGATTTTACACATTTGGTAAACAACTTATATAATCAGTTTAAAATTTTCAGTTTTCAGTTTCAGCGATTTTGACTTAATATGAGACATTATGACCTCTGTTAAAACTAATTTAACTTTAAGTGACTTAAAAATAATAGATAATACTTTCTTAATCCATATCCTGAAAAATATACCCTAATACATGGATGGATGGATGGATGGATGGATGGATGGATGGATGGATGGATGGATGGATGGATGGATGGATGGATGGATGGATGGATGGATGGATGGATGGATGGATGGATGGATGGATGGATGGATTGAAAGAGAGATTAAGTCATAGATTGGTATACTAGACCTATGAAAGAGCAATACAACAATAACATACATACTTTTCTCTTTATATTCTAATAATCAGTCACCATTTTTAGTAGGTAGAAAGTTTTTTTTCTGAGGCTTTTTGTTTGAATGTCTTCACTTGAATTTGATGTAAACATGGAGCATGTTTTTATTTCAACAGATTATTGTAAGGAATTGCATATTTATATCAGTTTTCGAAAGCCTTTAAAATATTCTAAATACGGACGGGATCATTAAAGTCGTTTTTATATTGCTTGTTATTTCCACAGTAAAACAAAAGTGGATTTATAAAAAGAATAAACACAGCACCAAAGAATAGGTATCAATTTGACATTTGCTGAAAATATCAATTTACAACCCATTTTAACTTTGGTAATGCATTTATTGGAAAGAGATTAATATCAATTCCATAAATCATTCAGGAGGTACAGCCAGAGGGAGGCATACTCATATGTTAGTTGATCTCTGTGTGGGAGCTATGTGGCTATTAATCAATGTCCCTACTCCTCTGGCCATGTTACCAGAGGAAAAGGCAAATTCATAAAGGGCCAATAACCACACTGATACCTCAGAACATAACATACTTAGATATTTATACAATGGTGCTTTATAGTTCCACTGACCTTCACAAGCTCTGTCTGAACAAAACTGGTTGCTAGGTTCTGAATTTCCATATCTTACTGATGCTTACTGATTTACTTGATTAGTTTTATAATTCATGTAGATAACATCATATACCAAAAGTGACATCAATAAGGAGTCCTGCAGTGTTATCAGAATAATAACTATTCTGCCAACCTTTATTATTGATAATGACACCAAGGTCAGTTAACAAATGTCTTAAGATAAAAAGTAGTGGGGCACATCTACCTCAGTGTGCAACCTACATGTGGACTGAATCTAAATGAAAACAGCAAAATTTTTCTGAAGAAAGTGGTTTGCATCTTTCATGGAGTCAAGGACATAGTGCATACAAATAAACAGCACCATATCTGCAACTCAGGAATATAAAATGGGCATCCCACACGGTTCCGTTCTGGACCCCGTATTAGTCTGTCTTTATACTAACCATCTGCACTAAGGTAGAGCTATACAGTATGCTGATGACTTTTGTTTATGTCTCATTAAAGTCTCCAAAGAAAGCTGCTGAGCTATTAAACAGGCAAATAGTCACAATTTCTCTTTGGTTGGAGGACGACTGTCTATTCTTAAACTGCTCTGAAACAGTTTCAATGTGTGTTTCATCGAGACAAGATGCAATGGACAATTTTCAGATAAAATTCAATGAATACAGTACAAAAAGTAAATTAATTTTATTATCTGAGTCCTTCACTCACATCTCAAATTTGAAGGTCACATCTTGCTTGCTGATGAATGCTGCCACAGGTGAACCAGTCAATCATAAAATGTTTATATTCTCTTCAATAACAGCCCTAAAGGAAGTTGACCAAAAGCCAACCAGATGGTCCAATTGCAAAATTCAAGAAAAGCACAATTTATTAAGTTTTGAAATGTTTTGAGTTATGTGTTTGTGAACTGTTTCCCTGTTATTATTAAAAATATGGTTTAGAAATATCAATATCCTGGTTGAACTGTAAACAAAAACTGCAGACCAGCTCAATGCCAAACATCTGTTGGACAGAGCATGTTTGTAAAAGACCTACAGATCTGGAATACCATACCTGCTGAACGGAAATATCTTCCTAAACTAAACAAATGTAATGGTAAGATAAAACAATTAATTACCATTAAGCAATCATCTCACTATCCTCGGCTGATTAAGGCTAATATAACAGCTGCAGCAGTTCTGTAGCCAAAGCTGGTTACCTTAGCAAGGCTTCATAACAAGGGATATTAAATAATCCTGTCAGTAAAACATTCATCTATAAATAATTAATTCTATATTTATTTATTTCATCAGTCACCATGGTATAAGCTGGATAATGCCCTTTAAAGTCTCACTTATCAGCAATACATTTATTTTGCATATCAGATGGTTCATGACTATGCTATGTCCATTCATCTCTTAATGTGCATTCACACCAAATGTGTTCTGGTTGTCAGCGCATCTGATTTACATTGAAAGTCTAAGGTGGACACTGTCAAACACAGCTCCTGTGGCGCGTCCGAGCATCAGAGTGTCTTAGTCTTCAACACTGGAGTTCAGAAATCTGAACTATGGCAGCTTGATGCTTAGCATCAACCGATCAGAAAAAGCTAATCCAGGAGTTTTCTGGGAGACAGTAACGTACATGCAAGCCGTGATCTTCTGCAAAGCTGTCAAAAAAATAAAAAAAATGAATAAATATAAAGAGGTTAAACTCCACAGGTTTGAAAAATACAGCAGAATGGATACAAGGAGGGGAAAAAAGAGAGAACTCTGATCAACATTATACCACTAAAACTTTTTATGACTGAATTGTGGCGAAAAAGTTTTATGAATACCTACATTACCCAAAACTGTAAAACCTCCTGGCAAAAAAGTACTAAATTTTACATTCTGGTACTTGTAGTTTAGTTCACTGGGCACTTCCGGCACTGTTGCCACAGATGGGGGGGGTCTGCAGCTCAGAACAAGAACAGAATATTTAAGTAGGATCATAATCGTAATGAACTAACTGAACAGGTTACCTTTGGGGTGGACTTTCTCTCTCAAAAACATGTTGAAACTATTTTTTTTTTCTAACTCATCAAGCTAACAAATCTAAGATGCTCTCTGGATTGAAACAACAGAACAGAGCAGCTCAACAACTGGAGCATCGAGCATCCAGATCTTGTGACTTAACATTGCAAGAGTTGGATGCTATTTTTGATGCTGAAGACTTTGCATTATAATACCAACCGCAACAGGCATTAGCCCTTACATAACTACCCAACTATCAAGAAATGTAAGAAAAAAAGGAAATATAAAAAAAATCAAAAGACCTAAACAAAGTTGTAAGCAACAAAAAAACTGGGAACTTAGCTATTACATGTATGAACACCAAGATTTTACGCAGGACTAAAGATTAATTTAACACGTTACTTCGCAGGAACTTTAACCTGAGTAACATTATAAAGGAAACATATGTTGTACATGGTGTCATTTCTGATATGATGAAAACAATTTTTGAAATAAAGCATCAGAAGGCAGACTGTCATCCAAAAAAAATCACTTTGGATCCAAAGAAAGAATGTGATATATGTTTGAACTCAGACCTTTAAAAACACATTTACAAAAATCAGCTAGTTTATTCTTTTTCTTCTCGTTGTCTGACATCAAATGAGACGACAGGGGACATCTGCAAAAATGTCATTAGATTTTTTTTTTTTTTTTTTTTTTGCATAATTTCACCCTGCTTCTCTGTTTTGCTTTTGGGTTAATTACCTCTTCCATATTTAGCAGCCTTCAGCATTAGCTGGAGGAGAAGTTATTTAACTTTTGGTAATGATATTACTTTACAAATTCCACCAGCATCTTCACAAAGGCTTTTGTGCAAAACCACATTTATCTTAGGTACAGAGAATCCTTCTTCATCCTGAATGGTATAATGGCTGGCTAATTACATTTTAGGTGTATATATCAGACAGATGAATGTGGCTTTTGATAAATATGGATTTTTTTTTCTTAGGAAAAAATGTACTTGTTGAGGATTTTAATTCTGTTCCTCATATTTAGGCCAATCTGGTTGCCATTTACTTGAAATACAAAAAAGTGTAAAGCTTATTTATTTAATCATTCTAGCATTTAAAAAAAAAAGTAATAATTTTAAGTAATCTGAATAACCCTAATCAAATGTTTAGTCTGACTCAATATTAAAAAGCAAGGGAAAGGCCTTGTGTCTTTATTTAAAGTGGATGTAAATCTGCTTTCAACAGTGTTTGGCAATCGCTATTTCTGAAGTATTTTTACTACATTAAACATCCAAATATAATGTAATAATGTTTTGAAAACAAAAGTGACCAATAGCTTATATTCTCCCTAAAAACTTGAGCCATGGAAATCAATCTAGAAAAGGGACATTATTTAAGGTATTTAGTTTTTCAGTGTTGCTGCTTACCACTTTCAAAGCAGGCATCAAAAATCAGATGTCCTTTTCGTAGAGGTCCATTGTATCCAGGTGGGCTTACTGTCAGCTTGTTGACGTTCCCTACTAAAGCATCTTCCCCTCCAGTTTCGCTGCCTTAAATTGAAATACACAACATATTTAATTTAACACAGATCCATAAAAAAAATGCAGGCAAATAAATTGTGTAGGTAATGTAATATATCGCTATATACTTCCAATAGTGAGTTGTGATTGTGTGAGTTAAATGGAATAAAAAAAATTTCACAAGTTTAGCAATCCATCCATTTAAAAACCCTAAAACCAGAAGTTTTAAAACCTTATATAAATTACTCTAAACATTTACCAGCATACATGTTAATAGCATGAAAAGCCCCTTTCATTGCTTTTTTACATACTGTCAATTGGAAGAAGAAAAAAAACAAATCGATAAGCATATTTATTGGGCACATTGGAGAAATCCTTAGGTAATAACTGTTATAAAAATACTTGAATAAGTATAATACACTTTAAGGTTCGGAGGAAGTTAGTTGAGGACCCAAATGCAGAAATGAGTTCATGTAGATTTAATTAGTGGTGGCAACAGCAGCACAAATCCAATAACAAAATAAAAAAGAAACCCAAGCAGAAGACGCCAGGGAGAAACACACATGAGGAGCAAAGCAATGAAGAGAAACCAGTATTAATGAACTGCAGAGAAGGGTTATATATGGGAGACAGAACCAAGAATGGAGTAATCAGTTAATTGGGAGCAGGTGAGGATAGAAAGAGCTAGAAAGGAGCCAAGGGTAAAGGAGACTGGCACAAGGGGGCAACAGAGAGTAAAACAAAAACAAAACACTGCCTGAAAATGACTACAAAGACACAGAATTACAGTGAAACTAAATAGAAATCTAAACAAAGGGCAGAACCCTGACAATACACATTTTACATTAAATGGAAATTGAAAGAAATTCTGACTATGCAAGGATTTCCTCTATTTCTGGTGTATTAATGTGATTGGCACAGAGGTCAGGTTCTTTTAGCCACTCTTCAAACTGGAAAAGATGGGAAAATAGCTGTTCAAATTGGCAGATGTGTGGTGGTCTTTCTAAACCAGGAAATGGCCAAGGAAAATAGCTAGTTGACCAAACATCCTCTTCCGATATAGAAACTGGGGTAAATAAGGTTGGATGAGGACACCCAACTTACCACACCACACAGTAACGATGGTGGAAAAAAAGTATCTCATCAAACCTGCCATTTTTTTCTTTCTTAACTTAGTGTCTCTGGTATCTGTTACGATATGTTCAGTTATATCTTCAGGTTATAAGAAATTATTAGTATTATCTTTCTTTGTTTGACGTGTGTTCAGAAACAAGAACAGGCAATACACAATTGTTTAATACCCGGATTTTCCTAATGCTTCTAAAGTAGGCCTATATTACTGCATTAAGCATTTAATTTTTGGACATTTCTATAATATTTTTAGTTGGACTAATGATCAGTGTAATCCACATATAAATGGAGGCTACTGTGATTACAAAAGTGTGTTGTGAATACTTTTTTTTTACTTTTTTCGTAATGAATTCGCAAAAATAAATGATTCCCAGTGTAATACATTTGGCATTATATCATTTTTTTTTTCTCCTTTGGTTGCAATCTTTAAAATCTTATTGTCAATAATTTCCATTTTTGTTCTTTGACTACAAGCATTAATGAGGTGCAGAAAGGAAAAGTGCTCACAGAAAGCAGAAATACTAGTGGCACGCGGTTCTTTAAGGGGTGGGAAGGTTGCTATGAGGTGCCCCCAGGGACATAAATCAGAATTAACTTGCATATACACATATTAAATTACACTCTTCCATATAATATACTGAAAACCTCACACAAACACTAGTAAAAAGCTCTAACATAAACTAGTGAAAACATTTACCTCTTATATAATCTACTCAAAAGCTCTCATACAAAGTAGTGAGAACTGTTCATATAAACTGGTGAAAAGCTTTACCTTTCATACACACTACTAGAAAGCTTTCATATACACTATTAAAAAGCTCTCATATACACTACTAGAATGCTCTCATATACACTATCAGAAAGCTCTCATATACACTATTAGAACGCTCTCATATACACTATTAGAACGCTCTCATATACACTACTAGAATGCTCTCATATACACTATTAGAAAGCTCTCGTATACACTACTAGAATGCTCTCATATACACTATTAGAACGCTCTCATATACACTATTAGAAAGCTCTCATATACACTATTAGAACGCTCTCATATACACTATTAGAACGCTCTCATATACACTACTAGAATGCTCTCATATACACTATTAGAACGCTCTCATATACACTATTAGAAAGCTCTCATATACACTATTAAAACGCTCTGATATACACTATTAGAACGCTCTCATATACACTATTAGAACGCTCTCATATACACTATTAGAAAGCTCTCATATACACTACTAGAAAGCTCTCATACACACTACTAGAACGCTCTCATATACACTACTAGAACGCTCTCATATACACTACTAGAAAGCTTTCATACATACTACTGAAAAGCTATTAGCGGATTTCAGTTGAAACGGAAGGTGTTTCAGTGAAACAGGAAGGACCGTCATTACACCGGAAGTTGTTTTAAACGGAGGTCATTCTGGCTAGCTCCGTACATTTTGTGCTATCTCCGGCCGAAATTGTATCAAATAAAATTATTGATTCATGCTCAGCTATCCGCTAAACAACTCACAGAAGCATGGGCATTACTCGACTTTATTTTTTATGTTTTTGCTTCAACAGAGATCCTTTTCCGGTGTTGTGCGAAATTCTGTTCCCATGTGAAAATCTGTTCCACCTGTGTCGGGAGCGCGCCGCGCATTGCAGCCACATAAGTGGATCTGATCATTTCCCAGGCCTTTCGGATCATTTCTTGGTTAAATAAAAAGTCGTAAAATTATACAAGGTTGAGACATTTAGTTTAATCAGCAGCTGTTGTTTACAAAATTGTAAAATAAAAAAAAATAAATGCGGTTTTCTTATGCTGTTTTGTATTGTTATTTTAAACGCCAAGAGAATCAGTCTCTTTCCAAGTTTTTTCACTTCAGCCTCACAGAAATAAAAGTCAAGTCACCAAATACCAAATTTGTATTTATAATTTTTTATTACTGATACAAGATGATGGGAAGTGCCTGATAGCAGTTCCATAATATGGAAACAAATTAATTTAGCTGCAAATCTTAAACTGTGTTTATTCCTCTCTTCATCAACAACAAACCATCTGGATTCGGTGATATTTGAGCAATGTTTGCCTAAATTAAAGGAGGGGGACCATATATTTTAGCTTTCTAATAGTGTGTATGAGAGCGTTCTAATAGTGTATATGAGAGCGTTCTAATAGTGTATATGAGAGCGTTCTAATAGTGTATATGAGAGCTTTCTAATAGTGTATATGAGAGCTCGCGTGTGTCAAAATAAACACACGCGAGCTCCTGATTTACCTACACTGTAAAAAGCACAAGAAAGAGATGATATATAAACCATAGGGAATGTGAAACAAACACGCTGTGCTCTGTTGTTTTTAGTGAATATCGTTATTCGTCTAGTTTGGCTTTAGTTTAACAGCAAAGAAACCGTTTGCTATTATTAGCTGTTTTGCAGATTCCTGAACACAGTAATTCAGCTGGAACCCAGTTAGTGCACCTGGTCCATCCTCCCGTCGGAAAACAGCCTATACTGCGTGGACATATTTTAGTGAAAAATATAATAAGTCAAGCTAGCATACAATTGCAATGTTAAAGTCCGTGTTTACATCCTCTCACCTGCTAGCTTGGGTACTAGCATACCGAGCCAATGTTTAAAGGCACAGCGAGGGCTGAAAGCATAAGCTTGATATTCGGCAGCCAGCAGACCAACGAGATATTTATTTTTGTTTGTATCAGAGAAACGCTAAAGCAATATAATACTTGTGTTTACACACCAGGCTCGACGTCTCTGTCATTGTTTTCCTCCATCTTCCTCTCCATCAGTGCAGCCGACGCTTTTCTGGGGTTGCCCCGGCAACGGAGCAAGAGGGAGAGGCTGAGCCCACGTGAGCAGTTGGTGAGTTTCTCCTGTAGGGAGCTCTATGCAGCTATGTAAACTCTGGAACATTTTTCTACCTTAAAATAAATTTCATAATTGATTTAATGCATACTATGCATTAGATTTTTATTAATTTAGAGCTAAATGTATATCTGAAATATCAGTACAGCTATACATCTGTTCTGTCTACCTAAATAAACAGATAAATCAGTCTTTAATGTCGGTGTCCATCACTGTCTTTTTGTGGAAAATGACAACGCTGTTATTCTGCACATCAAGGTTTGATGTAGGTTTGATTTCAACTCTGGTAGGAACATTATTTTTCTGATGTCATTGGTCCTATGCAAAAATATGCATGCTCCTTTTTTTTATGATTGACCTAAAAATCAGGTTGTATTTCGTTTAAAGAGAAAAGCTGCATTTCTTGCTATATCTTTACAAATTTTATAAGCACTACACACACTAGATGCTGTTTGTCAATGACTGAAGCTTAACTGGCTCTGATGAATGAGGAATTAGGACTTTTTTCCACTTTGAAAAGGTTTGCATTTGAAATTATCAGACAGTAGGTAAATCTGTGCCTATTTAACAGAATATAGTCTATATATGTCTGTTATATGTGGATTTATACTTTTTTCTATTTTGAAGATATAGAATTGTAGAATTGCAGAGGTGAACAGGTAAAACCCACTCTTATCTTTAAAATGTTCTCTTTGTATCATGAAACAAAGCGAAATAATAGATTCAAGGGACACCAAATAAATGTATTGTATTTGAGCATTTAATATATTAACTTCACTCTACAAGCTGTACATCTAGGCTGTAGTTACTCTGTTTAACCCATTTCATGTATTTTATTTAGGGCTGAAACAATTCATTGGATTAATCAATTACTGAAATAATGTTAACAAATTTAGTAATCGATTAATCGTTAACTGGAGTATAAAGACTCTAAAACATGTCTTTAGCTCACAGAGCGACCCACTTAGAGCAGGAATTATACCAAACTTGTAAAAAAATAAATAAAAAATTTTGCATTTTAGATAAAACATGTTTTCGTCGTCCAGAACTCCTCTTATGCTGCAACAACGCTGTATTGTAAATTATAAACATGTTATTCACATGTAATTGGTGGTAGGTACAAGTAGGTTGGTCCAAAATTTTTGGTAGGGACATGTCCCTTTGGTCCCTATGCAAACCTATACCCATGCTGCACAGCAATATACAAGAAAATGTTCCAATTACACCACAACAAAATCTGTATACTGATGTTAGGTTTATTCTATATTAGTCATGTGTATTACTGGGCATTACTCCGTTTTATCACTGCCATACCTGAAATAAAACTAATTTTAATGGTATTTTCAGAGAGAAATAAGCCAATAATTGCAAGCAGCAGTCAAAGATTGGGAATTATCCACTAGATTGATTAAAGCTGAAGATTTTCTAGACAATTGGAGCAGAGATGTCATCAGGGCCAATCAAGCCTGGCCCTATTCCTTTCCCATTACAAAGGCTGCACCTGATTAAGTACATCAGATGAGCCAGTGTGCAGCTCCTGGAGTAAGAGGCGTGCAGGTTGGTGCTAATTTTCAGCTTATAAGCAGGGTGTAACAGGAGAAAATGAATAAGAGCAGGGACAGGGCAATGATTTTTTTCTTTTTTTTTCTGAGTGTGTGATCTATATATGACACCAAGCATCAACAGGCGATAGAGTAGATGGGTCTGAATGATTAATTCTTGGATGACAGGAAGAGAATACAGAGCAGCTGTGTAATATTTTGTTAAAATTGAAAATTGAATAGCTGTCCTTAATGCTATGTCATTGCTTTAACACCGTGTCATTTATAGATCTTTTTGGTGGTACAGTCATTCGTTTTCAAAAGAGTTTGAACTTGAATTATGGAGCATGAGAAGAATGAATTAGATACATCAAAGTTCCTTGTCTTTGATCTACAATGAAAACTTCAGGAAAAAAAGATATTTTTACTATGTTTAGCTAAACGTATTTGAAGAAAAACATACTGTATATTTCTGTTGTGTTGATGTTTCTATTGTACATGATTAACCATTGTCGTTAGAATACTATGTTATAAAATGTGTAGTTCATATATTCTATGACATAAACTTGTTTGTATACTTTTTTTAATTAAAAAAGCTGAAAAATATTCTTTACAATTATTGTTTTTCCATTTTGTCACAATTGATAGATAATAACGTATATTACATTCTAACAATTTTAACAAACTAAGTAAAGATATCAGTTTTCAAACACAGCACAATCGCAAAATTGCCCTGTAACTGCAAAAAGTAGACAAGCAAACACAAAAAGCAAAGAAAAAAGCCTGTAATCACCCAAAGAGTGAAGAAAAGTCCAAGTATGCATCAAATTCCAAGTAATCTCAAACATACATAAAGATGCACATATACAAACACATGCTAAGGTAAAATGATGCAAGTTGCAAAAGCAACTAAAGGTTAGGAAATGCTTTAAGCTCCAGACCAATAGGTGGAGAAAATCCCCAAATGAAGCTCTAGCGGAAGTTCAATTGAAGAAACTCTGACTTACCTCCATCCAATCAGAAGCTAATCCGTCTCCGAAGCGAGCCATTCAGCTTCGAACTACTCCACCACAAGCCCAATCAGCGTCCTGCTCTCACTTTATAAACGCTCCAAATCTTCATCCCAGCGCTATCCTGCAATCGCAATGTCGGACTTCGATTCAGACGACAATTCACCCACCTCCATCCCCTTCCCCGCCATCGCAGCTGAATCGTCATCCATGACTCGTCTTCACCTCAACCTCATCAGAGAGTATTAATCCCAGTTGTCACCATCCCCTGTCTCACCGCATTGGTCCGGCAGAAGACCACCATGTTGAGCCCGGTTCTGCCAGAGGTTTCTTCCCAAGGGGGAGTTTTTCCTCTCCACTGTCGCTTCATGCTTGCTCATCATGGACAGTTCCCGAGTCTCCGAGTGAAGCCTGGCGTCAGCTCCCTCAGTCTTCTAGTCCCACATTCTGCTCAGCAGATCACCTTGTCAACCAGCTCCGATTAAACCACCACCAGTTCCAGGCCGGGGGAACATCCCTATTCTCATTTATCTACTCATGCATGTTAAAGCATAATTCAGCATGAATGTTCCTGCCGAGGTCTGAGCGCCAAAGACTATACTTTCTATCAATAAATTCTTCTAATTATCTTTTCTCTCTGTGTGAGTTTTTCAGATTGAACTTATAAAGGACCAGACCATACATTTCACTACAGATAAATGTCTGTGGATCTTTGTATTTGGTACTATAGCCTCAGATTTGTGTTTTCAAGTCTCTTTTGTTTGCAGTGTCTAATGTTTGTTTTTGTAAAATCCATTGCAAATTTATGCCACAATAATTTGATTTTCTATTATCAAAGAAGGGTTAAAACTTATCCAAATAAATCTGGTCTGTGTTATAAAAGCATAAACATTTATTATGATTAGCTACAAGTTTTTGGCTAGATTTCATTAACTACACACAGCCTTTATTACTGTCTGATCTACTGAAACAAGAAATTAATTAAAAAGAATCTTTCATGGTAAAATGTCTCAAAAAAACAACAACATGTGCTCTTCTATGATGAAACTGAAAGCCAAAAGTGGAACAAAGTCATTGATTTCTATCAGTATGCAAGGGTCAACCAACCACTTTTATTGCTTTGGGAACCACAGTGAAACACAGTGAGAGCAGTTATGGAAAAATATAAAACAAAAGTGAATATTGCCAGAAAATGGTCTGGATACCGGATCACTGCAAGAGCAAACATGCATCGACAACACATCCCAAAGTGTTTAAAATATCCGGTTGTGGGGCAGATATGCTACTAGCTCAACAGTCCTTTTCAAAAGCAGAATCCTACTTGATGATTGGCCCTGGCGGAGGTGTGCAAAGGGCTTATATGCTTGCAGCAACACACCTTCGAAGGGCAACTGGATGAGAGGTAAGGCTAAATTAAGTTTTCCTGTCTACATTTTGCAATAATTATGAAGCCAAAATAACATTTGAGGAAAAATAAGGAAATCCCCAACAATGTGTAAGTATGCACAAATGTACAATGATGTAATAGGAATGTATGTTCTATCTACTAACGGGGATAAAATGTTAAAAAGTATCATAAATTAATCACTCCATTCTTTTGTTTATTTTTGGCAGTAATGTAGATATTGACACCATTGAGCCTAAAAGTTTTAGTGCCAGTAGGAGCCCTTGAGCTTTAATGCACAGGGACTTTAGACTAGAAGGTTAAGCTCGCTCATCTATCAGACCAAATTATGAGAAACTGTTTGATTTGACATCTATATGATTAACTGCTGCACCACTGGTATTTCAAGCTAGTTCAAAGCTACATCTTTCAGGAAACAACTGCAGCATTGTTCTGCTTTTTAAATTTCAGGGTTTAAAATTTAAATAATTCAGACATTTATTAAATGATAGGTTTTAGAATTCATGTCTACTAGTCTGTTCTGCTCACAGCATAGCCTGTTTGACATGATGGTAATCACAAGAACTTGTCCACAAGGATCTGCTAGTGTAGTCGGGGACATCGCACCTGCAGGCCAGATATCCCTGACGGTGTTTTGCCTTTGTGTTCAGACAGGGGTGATGATGACCTCAGTCAGAGGGTGAAGCATTATGATTTGGATCATGAGGAGAAGACAATTAAAGCAACAAAAAAATAGCCTGTTTTAAAGCAGCACAGTGAGGAGAAATGTTTGCTTTCCCTGTGTGGATTATTTATGTCTCATTTATAAGGTGGAAACAAAAACACACTTTATTCTGATTTTTTTTTACTGCTTTTCTTTGTAACCACTTAAATTATCCTTAGGGACTTTTCAAACCAGGGGACTCCAAAGTACTTTACCAAACATTCATCCATAGGTGCACAGATTCAGACACTTACCTTCTTCCCCTGATCTCAGTAAACATTGTATAAACAATTAT